TCTGTCTCTCTCTCTCTCTCTCTCTCTCTTTGCTTGTCTCTCTTTGCCTCCCTCTCTGCCTCTCTGCCTCTTTGCATCTGCCTCTGCCTCTGCCTCTGCCTCTCTGTGCCTCTCTGCTTCTCTGCCTCTCTGCCTCTCTGCCTCTCTACGTCTCTGCCTCTCTCTCTCTCTCTCTGTCTGTCTGTCCGTCCGTCCGTCCGTCTGTCTCTGTCTGTCCGTCCGTCTGTCTATCTGTCTCTGTCTGTCTGTCCGTCCGTCTGTCTGTCTGTCTCTGTCTGTCTGTCCGTCCGTCTGTCTATCTGTCTCTGTCTGTCTGTCCGTCCGTCCGTCTGTCTGTCTGTCCGTCCGTCCGTCTGTCTGTATGTCCGTCTGTCTATCTGTCTCTGTCTGTCTGTCCGTCCGTCCGTCTGTCGGTATGTCTGTCTGTCTCTACCTATTTATTTCCCTAGATATCTAACTATCTATCTATCTATCTATCTATCTATCCATTTTTGGAGAGAGATAGCCAGCTCACTTAGTCCGGCAGTTCTTGATCAGCTCGCCCTTCCCCCAACTCCACTTAGGGATCTCAGCCCCTTTGCGACGCTTGCCGCACTCTTTTTCTCATCTCGATGCCTTGGCGACGCGCCGGCATGGTCAAAATGCCGTACGTGGAACATTCTAAGGACTTTCCTAACTCGGCTGCTTTCTTTTAGTGGTTTAAGGGAAAACCCCTTGGTTGGCAAAAAGTTAAAGCCCTAACAACCAAGCAAAATGCGCCAAAGCTAACACACCTGAGTCACTTGATCAAAACCCGGTACTAAAATGGTCTACCCGGAACCATGTAAGGAATTAAGAAGGCGGCCGAAGCTATTTATGGCTGGGATTGTCCCTTACCAACCTTCATCTGACCAGGTGTTGATTGTGTCTCACCTGAGATTACACCCTAGGGAACTTACACAACCTAATCCCAAATAAACCGAAATCACGAGGACATAGGCTAGAATAGCGCCGGGTGATTTCTCAGAGGGCGTAATCCTAGGGTGCATGGTCTCCTTGGTTGCTACAGGCAGCCTTCACCATCCGTCCTAAATGTGGATTTTCTCCCAGATTGACATGGAACAGGGAACAAACAACTCCTTTGTAAATACTTATATTTAGATTCCATGCAACAAGTTATGCGATTTTGCCGGTTGAAAGAGAACATGACGGAACACCAACAAGTCAAACAAAGACACAAGCCAAGTTTGGCGATGTGTAGAGGGATCGCTTGAGGGGGAACCTTTTTCGGGGTTCCATGTCAATCTGCAGGGCAATGCCCCAGTATTTGGGATATCATGCAAAGGAAATATCAAAACTTGTGCGGAACAAACAAGTATAATTTCTGTACAAGGGGTCAATGGCTGACTGCGCTATAGTTAACACATAGATAAATCTCCTAACGTCAAAGATGAACATCTCTGACAAACAATGGCCATGGGTCAACATCCCGTACCCCCAATGAACATCCCAATCCCCACTAATATAGAGCACCGAGCCCAAAATGGGATCCCATTGGTTTTGACCCACAGCTCAATGACAACTTGAGACAGGGGCCGGCAAAGCGAAAGGCTGGTAGTGAGAACCCACGGCCTCCACGAAACTCACCTTCTCGTTAACCTATCCCTAACTGGTTTGAAGCTAGGTTCAGCAGAGAGGTTGGAATAAGGGTACCAACTTTTCTCAGGACGTCTCTTTTAGTAGGGGACCCCTCCCAACCAAAAAAGGGGCGACTAAAAGGGCAGCTGGGGGGACCCAGGAAGGGTAAACCGCCTCAAGCCCCAACAAAAACGAGCATTCTGAGCACTCAGAGCTCCGCAGAATGCAACCACCTTGATGCTAATACTGTGGCTGGTTGCGAAATCCATTTCGCACCACTTTAAAGCCATGCTTGCAACCATTGTTTGTTGGCATTTACAGGGGACTCGTATCATTCCATGGCTTATGAAGGTGGTGCGAGAAGCGGATTTCGCAACCATCCACAGTACGTCCCCTCTGAACAACACCTGAGGGTCTCCATGACTGGTAGAGTCGCCTGGGGGTTCTGGCCAGATTTTTCTTCTTTCAGCCAAGGAAACGCCAAACGTGGAGAACAGTTTTTTTGCCAAAACCACACAGAAGGGGCGTAGCAGGACCCCAGAGCAAGTTAGGCCACCTCTCCTTTGGGCGAAATTACGTGGAAATGAGACACGTGCTTTTGTTCTTCATGCGACCAAAGATTGCCTGAATGGACTTGTGAGTTGAATCTTGTTGGGGGCAATCACCTATCTTTAAGTTTGAATTTTGAGGGTCCAGGTATATAACTTTGTATTGTTAAGGGGCCCTACGATGGTTGCGAGACTTCCATTTTGCACCACGAAATAAAACCATGGTTGAACCACTCTTTGTTGTTATTTGCAGAGAATCGAATCACTGCAGGGTTTCTGAAAGGTGGTGCGAAATGGATTTCGTCCATCCACAGTATGACTTGCCAGGTGCCAAG